CCCCAAAACCCCAAAACCCCAAAACCCCAAGAATAAGGAATTTAGGTTGAATTGAGCGATAGAAATTCAATAATTTAAAATTTTTTTAGCGCATAATTTAAGATGTTCTCACAGTCACCACAAGAGTCATAACACTATACTAGACTTTATTCTTGCAAGCATTTCAGAAACAGAGTCATTAGATTGCAGACACTTTGTTAGAAATTGAATATTGATGCAATTTTACTTGCTATTGGTATGATTTAATGACTTAATATGAGTTAGGTATGGATACTTTCCATGATGAGGAAATGAAAAAACTCCAGAATTGGTTGCTTTATGGTATGTCCTCTTCAGATATCAACGGATCTACCTTGTCTGATTCATTCGCTGATTCATTTTTCGTTATTTCAAAGGATTCATTCCAAGCATTCACAAATTCTTAAGGATTCAAAGAGATCTCTAACCTAGTGACTCTACTTACTAATTGCAATGTCTATACCATCACTAAATCAGATGAGAATGATTCCGAGAGATAGGAAGTAATCAAGGTTTCCAAGTTCTACGAAATGGTCTATGACAAGAAAGCAATCGGAATGCCTGTTAGGAAACTTACAATTAATGATTATGTTGCCTCTGAACAATAACTTATTGAGAAATGGCCTCTAATCTAAGCATACGCTTTAGACAGTATATCTTTTTACTCAAATTCAAATTTTGTTTTATAGTTGTTGGAGAAGGATTCTTTACAATGAAGCATCATTTTGTTAATCTAAGAGATGAATTGCAGACTATGTATGCAGAGTACGATTCGTTTGCAATTTTCAGAATTGTCTATGATGAAATTGATAGATTCAACAAGCATTACTATGATAATTTCTTTGCTTTCAATAAAGACACTCCACTTAAGAGACTGGAAAGAACTGAATAAGATTTGATTGAGGCATTTTATCTTAGATCAGAGTTCAGTCTTCTTACTAGAAAAGCAAGTCACTGTTCCTAGCTTGCAGACGACGGACTTCCTTTGACAAGAGCCTTGATAGGCATAAATACCAATAAAGATTACAAGGAATTAGCTAATAAGGATGAAAGACTGTACAAGTATAATCTAGTTGATTAGAAAGATTCAGCCTTACATTTTACTTTCGAGTTTACTGAGAAGAATACTAATATCAGATTTGCAAGGACTAGTTTCTTAAGTAACCTTTCTTAGCATTATATGGAGGGCATTTACTTCACAGATGATGAGGAAGAGAGAAAGTGCAATCCAAATGGAAAAATTAATGAACTTAACACTAAAATTTTGTTTAATGCTTATATGACTTTGATTCTTACTTTCAAAAATGTGACTGATTAATTCATGAGACATTAGTTGTCAGTTGAAGAAGCTCACCATACCTCAGTTGCTCAATTCAGCAAACTATTCCTTTAAAGATGCAATGAGGGAGACATTCATAAGTTACTTAAGAATGGTAAAAATGATTTCGAGCTGGTTATAAAAGCTTTCAATACTTTTGGTGAAGAAGTCCCTCATACTTCAACAGAGAGAAAACTGATAAACATTAGAATTTAAGTGAAAAATATTATGAGCAATGCAGATGGAAGCAATCTTGGATCAGTAATCTATGCTGATACATTTTTCACCATTGATAAAGATACCTATATCAATATTTCAAAGCATACTCCAAACCTAGAATTCTGGTATACTACGAATAAGCATTATGAAAATTTGCCTTAGGAAATCAAAACTGAGAAAAACCTTCAATGTGAAAAACTTGGATCAAGATTGAATTATTTCTAAGATTTACATGGATTTATAGAAGTTAAGGAGCCTTTCAATGAATTTATCCAAGATGTTAACCTGTTTGGAAAACTCGTATTTTATGAATAGGGATTTATCTTTGTTGACTAAAAGTTGAATTGCTTTGTCGTAACTTATCCCGAAGTAGAGACTGTCAATTTCTATGTTGTAAGCAATATTTTTTAAAAGTAATTTATCATTTTAGTAAGATGGATTTTGGGTTGAATTCAAGACTCGCTCCTAAGTCGGGCTACCAGCAAATATGATTTGCCAAGATAAATTGTACTTGAAAATCAACAAAGCCATATTTGATGAAAAGCACAAGTATTTTATCACCTTAGCAGAGTAGACTTACCCAGAAACAATGAAAGTTGAGAAGATATATGCTGAACCTGAATTTATTAAGAATTCTCAATCCTTCAAAAACTTTGAATTAAACAAGAAATATAATAAATTCTATTCCTCAAACTTCTAGAACTTCTAATTTATGGAACCAATCTACAGAGAATTGCTTGAATTCCAAACTATAGAAGAATTCAATGTGATAAGGGGAAAGGACTTCATTAACTTTTCATCTTTCCGCAAGGTATTCAAGGAGGGTTAAAGCTAAATTCCATATGGAAACTATGGATAGATGCTAATTGACAAAATGAAATAATAAGTTACAAATTCACAAGGATAGCCTAAAACTAATGTTATAATCATCAGTGGTATCCCGGGCAGTGGAAAGGGTAAATTAGCTGAATATCTTGCTAAGTAATTCTCTAATGAAGGCCTGGGTGCAGTTACTTTTAAAATGCCTACAGTTCAAGAGTCTATTAAATTTGTAACTCCAAAGTATATACAATCGATGATAAACTTTAAGACTACAATACCATCTAGCAAGATAATACTTTCTGTATTACCAAGCTATAATCATTTGAAGAAAATCATCTTTGAACTAAAGAAGAGTCAAGAATATTCAGAGCTTTTCGAGATCAAGTACATCATTACTAAGGTTCACGCTCGTAACTTCTACATGAGCAAAAACAGAAACACTTTCTAGTATTTGATTGAGAACTGTATGAAGGGTGTTACCCAAGCAGTGATCTTCGAAAGGTCAAACGTCAATCCAAATGAGCTTTAGATAATGTAGAGATCCCTGGAGAATGCTAACTTTGAGACTAATGTACTACCAACTCAAGGAAGATCATTTAAACTTGATGATCTTGGCAAGATTTTGCTTAACAATCATGATAAGCTTAATATCTTATACAATAAATACTTCTATGGTTTTGAAAAGGAGGGCAAGAGTGCTTACTTTTAAGAGAAAAACGTAGTTGGTGGGTACTTCTAATACAGATATCCATTCAAGGAGGATTTATTATCAAAGACTATCATGATGGCTTTGAATATTCCTATAAACAATCCAAATCAAATCTTGCAACTCTTACCTTAGAACGAAGAAGAGAGATAAAAAGAGACTGAAAACAAGGAGAATATCTTGAAGAAGTAAATGGAGAGCATGTCAAGAGAAGAAAAGAGAAAAGTTGAGAGAGAAATTAAGAAGTAAAAGAAGATTGAAGCTGATCTTGAACCAGAAAGATTACTTAAAGAAGAAATGGATTTAACTAAGAGAAGAGTTAACTCAACTGATCTTTATATTGAGAGAATCAGAGGCTATGTCCTAGTTGAAGGTAAAGAGGATGAGCAAGACTATGAATTAATCTGTAACTTCAATGAGCTTTCTCTAAAACCATTGAAGAATCAAAGTAACAGACTTAAGCCAGAGGAGCTAGGTCTTCTTATATATGGCAGAAACCTCAATGAAGGAATGATAAAGGAAGTTATGAAAACTTGCAGAGTGTAATTCCATAAGAAGAAAAATCTAAAGACCAGAGAGACAATTACTGAAGAGGAAATTGAAAAGTTGAAAGATGAATTTGTAAGTTAAATGCTACCAGATGGTTGGTTCTACAATGGATATTTCTACCTTCACTATGATGGCAGATAATCATTTACTCATCCAAATCTCGAAGCAATTATCAAGCAATATCTAGATGAGTAGAATGGAGAAATCGGAGATTACAACAGAGATCTACAAAAGCAACAGAGAAATGATCTCAAGAAATACGAAAATCAAGCCTGAGATCTAAATTACTTCATGAGTTATTCAAAGATTAGTATCTGTTTATTAAAAATTAACTTCAAATTAACACAAACGTCATTAAATAATATTATTCGATATCAGTAAGGATTACTATAAGTTAGGTTATTTATTAATCATGTTCTTGATTTCAGTTGCTGGTATCTTTGTCGCTAGATAAATTAATTTGGTCAATAATTTCATTTATGTACATATTAGACTCCTTATCGATTATGTCCAATCTTACTTCATCATGACTTGTCAAGAAGATTTTTGGAGATGTAATTGGACTCTTTGACCTCTACTCATCTTAATTGCAGTTTAGCTGGCTGTCTTCTAGGTAAGTGCTTATTAGTCTGTCATAGTCAGAATATATGTTTAGATTCCAGATTAATTTTTAAGATTAAGGACTAATATTCTCACTGCTTTGATACATTTATTCATTACTCTAGGCTAAGTTGTAAAATCCTGTCTTGTTTTAATTTCCTATCATCGACTATGTATGGAGTTTTTGATTCAGCATTCTGTGGATAGTTTTTGCAGCATTCGGCTAAATATTGCAAAAATTTTTATTTCTAAGGTTGAGTTTTTAGTTAATTTAGCTTTCTAGCTCAACTGTAGAGCGGTCTTAATTTAGTTAAGATTTACTTTATGCACTATTATTTCTCTCTTATTCTAGATCAGAACTCATTTTTCTTTATTTAGGCTTTTAGTTATCCAAATTCTTTAGCATACTAACCTGCTCCATACAGAATAACATATCCTCTTCTTTCTCTGGGTCGTACTCTTCTTGAGTCTGTTCAGAACTCTACTAATTAAAGCTTTATCCTAGTTTAGACATTAATACTGACTACCCCATGCTTCTTGGACTTAATAGAACGCTTTCATTGTAGACAAATTTCGGTGTAAAATTTTCTTTTAGAGGGTTCTTTTTGTCCTTAGATTCATAATAAGAAGGCAGATTTTCCTCTATGAAAGTCATTGCACTGTGTAGCACAGTCATTTGATATGCTCTGTTAGTATTTAAAATGGCTTTGCTCACGAAATTTTCAATGAAGATAATATCAATAAGCAAAATAGGTATGCCTGCTTTTAGAGCGATATATATGGCTATTCCATTCAAATTCTCATAATCAATCTCAAGTTTTTTTTAGTCAACATTTATGCTTTCCCAGAACTAATCAATCTCCCCGATCATTAAGGTATTAAATACTTAATAGATGAATTCAAGTTTCTTCATAGGTGAGTTTATTTCTGGAATTTCTTTAAGGGCCTCGATACTTTTTTCAAATGGCTTATAAGTATCTTTTGAATAAGAATTCTTCCTTCTCCTTTTTTTCTTTAAAGTCTTTGACCTTATAAGCTATCTTTGATCTAAAATTTCTAGCTTTTAATCTTTAATCATTGGGTTGACATTCATATTCAATTGTTATATAGGATCCTTATTTTGGCTTTTGGACATTGTTGAAGTGTCTTATTAGAGTAAATCTTTGAAAGTTCTGCTAAACTGAAAGTACTTACTCACTCCTAATTTATCAAGATTTATTTTGTATCTATACTTGCCTATATTCTTTTAAATATTCCTCACTCTATCACTGCTGCCTTATAGTATTGCATTCATTATAATCGAATAGGTCTGATCCTTCATTATCAAGCTGGTGATCATATTTATTACTAGATCCTTGCGGAGATCTTATGGCTTTAATTCCAGACGATAAAATTTCAGAGTAGCAAAGAAAATAATTCTCACAAAATTTTGAACCTCTTTGACAATTTAATTCATGAGCTCTTTAGATTCTTTTACATTCTTCTGACTCGCTCTTTCAATCTGTACAGCATATATTTGGAAGAACAGAAGGTCAAATTTTTTGATGATTTTATGTATAGGATGAGATTTTTACTGCATCTGATCTCTAATGATTAAGACTTTCCTATTAAATTTAGTACTTAATCTCAGTGCATCGTTTCCAGTCTCGTCACTTAATATCGATTTAAAAGTCAGTTTGACACTACGATGGTGATTAGATGATAGATGATCGCCTGCCTTGAACTCATACTAATTACTAAAGCGCATTTCTGGAGGTAAAAACGACCTTCTAGGAGAACTAAGCATGAACTCTTTCTTTTCTCCTGTAGGGGAGCTTACATTATTAAACTACTGGGTAAAGAGTCGAAGTGCAGATGTTTCCTTCATTTTATCTGATTAATCTGTATTATTGTACTATGCCCAGAAGTAATCAGACAGTAATTTAAATGTAATCTATTGTATATCAACTTGCCTAAACTTTGCTTTGATATAGTTGAATAAAGGATAAGCCCATTCAATCTCCTGAGTCCCTAGGCATTGTAATTCTCTCTTAAGCATCTTGAGCCACTATAATAAAACGCTTTAAAATTCTTTAACAAATACTAACCTATGTTTGCTTTTCTGATTTATCAGGTGATGCCTAGCTGTCTCCGCTCCTTGACACTATAAACTTAAATCAACTTTTGTAAAGCAAGTATATTACAATCTTAATTGAATTTCTTCTTAATATTTGTGGTCTCAGATTGAATTAAACTAATATATTTTAGTTTTAGATCTCTATTAGTCGAGGGACTTCAATAAGTTGAATTATCTTATGTCTAATCATTTTAGAAAGGCTATTAGCTTTTAAAACATTAGCATCCCATTATATCAATATTGATAAATAATAAATCGCTACTGTTTTTATAATTAATCATGAATTTTTCTATATTATCTTATTAAGCCTTGAGGGGTTTTGGGGTTTTGGGGTTTTGGGGTTTTGGGG